TTCAGGTATGTCAAAAGAGACACTCAAAACACAAAAGAAAAAACGAATTCAAAACTCAAAACAAAAAACTGAAATACGAAGAGAACAGCCCCTAAGTTTTTCCTTGATTCAAGACATTTTTTAGATGGGGAAACATTCAAACGTTGAATCTTTAGACTTTCAATCTTTAGATTTCTCTCCTTTTTATTTTTCTATCATTTATTAGTTGTGTAATTGACCCTATTTATGGACAATTTTTATAGACTTTTTGGTTATTTTTATAATTTGACATTATCTAATCATTATGTTGAAAGTGATGACTTAAGTCCAAGTTTCAATAGTCTTGTTGAGGTTTGTGCTTTAATGACACTTGTCATGCAACTCGTTATGTGCATGCTTGATTGTCTTGTAATGATGTTCATATTGATTTGATCGTGTCAAGTTTCGCACTTCAATGACTTATATTTGAGACTGCCTTTAATTCTGATTTTTGGATGAGGATTTCGTTTATCCATTGTCCAAGTTATTATAGATTTGATCGTGTCAAGTTTCGCACTTCAATGACTTATATATTCGAGACTGCCTTTAATTATGATTTTTGGACGAGGCTTTCGTTTATCTGTTGTTCAAGTTATTGAGGGTCTACATTCCATTAATGAGGAGAGCTTCGGTGGTCGGGGTGCATTTTTGGTTTGTCACGTGAGGTCGATGTATAAATATTTGTTTTGTGACAAGTAGGCAGGCAACGGAGTCCTCTGGCTAACGTGGAGTCCATGTGGACTATAATTATTTTAACATGTAACGGTTTGTTCACCTGCAATCTTTTCATGAAGTTTCAAAAGGAATTTCATGGCAATGCACTTGCTAGGAAATAAAAATTGTGATCTATTTCCACATTGCTAGGAAATACCTAAAACTGTGGTCTATTTCATGTGTTAAGAAAATTCCCAGGATTTTTTCAGCACCATTTATTTGAAGCTTAAGATCTACATTTCATATGCAGCATCATTTTTTTTAAAAATCGAAGTGACCATCATGATTGTATTAACTTTCTGAACAAATTCTTTGTTGTCTTGGCTAACAATAAACAAAGCAATAAACAGAATAGACACATGGCATATAGTGATAACAATGAAGAAAGCGAGATAAAATTACCTTTTCTTATTATGATGCTGACAACTAAAGTTGCATTACTCAGCTGAAGTTTCACCTCAATTGAAGGAAATAACTTTATTGGATTTTGTTTCAAAAAGAATTTCAAAATTCTTGCAAGCATGCCTTGATCTCTTTCTACTGGAAGGAAAATTTTCACTTCCTTGTGAAGATGGACTGCATGAGGTTCATTCACTATCTCAAGTTTTTCAAAAAGAGTTCATTCACTACCTCAAGTTTCCGGCTCTTCCCAGACCATCCGGTCAAGATGCAACCAAGCATCTTCTATCATTTGGGAAAGAGCTATTGCCATTGTCTTATGATGGTTTTCGGTAAAACATCCAACAGAACAGAGCGAGTATATCTACCGTGGTCATAAGTCACAACCTCACATCTCATTCAAAAGTCCAACGAAGAAAAAGAATTTCCACATTGGCACGAGCCATCAATAAAGAATGGTGCAAGTGACAAGGAGCTAATCCTGTTTCAAACATAAGAGAACTTCCTGTTTCCATCTTTCCCCAACAGCAATAGAAAATGATCGAGATTGCGGCAAAGGTCCATTCATCAAGTTCGATTTCTTTTTTATCGTCTCATTCTCCGAACTCCTCACCATGGATTAAGCAATCCGAAGCAGATAACAACATTAAGGAGGGCTTTCTAAGAGTAAGCACAAATCATAAATGCTGTTCTATGTCGATCCTGCCTAAGCTTATAATCTGCTTACTAATTATGTAAACAAAAGGCAAGAGTTCTCGTTTAAGCTTATGTTTTAAATACATGAGCAATACTTAAATTTAAACAAGTAAAACACAGAACTATTAATGGCTCGGATCATTACAGACCGCTATTTGAAATCACTGCTTTTCTCACCCATATATCTAGTCAAAAGCCCTGCTAAAATGCAAGAGACTCGCTGTTGTGCAAATTCTGTTTCTTTTCTTCGTCTTTCCCTTGTACTTTTTGCTTCTGCCTCATAATTTCAAAAACATAAAATTACTTATAGATAAGAATGCTTGTTGAAAGCTAAAAATTACTATGGTAATTACTCTTTTGAGTAGAACATACTTCACAATATCACTGCTAAAATTTTGCAACCACATCAATGAAATTCCTCAAAAGATAGATATAAAAGAAAAGAATTACAAATTCTAGCTTTTCATTGCTGTTTATTTTGAAATTTCATTTACATGCTTCAATCCATTCAACCATCACTCCAAATCTAGAAAACATATGGAACCAAAGACTTCACATTCTTGGGAAAATTTTCAAACTTGGAAAGATACCATTTTCTGGTGGCATAACTCCTTGCAGCTAAATATAAAGCCACGCCAAGAGCAGTTGAATATGAAAATGGTGTTTGGGAGATTAAGGAAATTCCTAGAAAAATAATAGTTTCAAAAAGATAGTGAGGGCATATGACAATGCTGAAAAGACCACCTCTCGGAATTTTGTAGCCCTTTTCGTTCTTCTCCCTAAGCTTGGAAAGAAGACAGTGATGATAAAAGTTACCACAAATTCCAAGCAGAAACAACAGAAGACCTAGATATTTCAGATCAACCAATGGCTCTTGAAAGCCTAGAGTTAAGTATTGGAGATAGATCATGCTTGCAGCAGCCGTGAAGTAGGAGACAGAAATAATAATAGCAGAATCCAACACCATAAAGCCACTGAATTTGTGAAGAAACAGAACCTGTAAAATTGAAGTAGAAAGCTTTTGTTAATGCTTGTGAATTGACTATCACTCAAGAGTTCAGACCACAACACAACTGAGACCAGTATGACAGTTGTCATTCTACGTTATCATCCTTGCAGAGGTTGAAAAGTGTAGCAGCAATTTTTAGCCTTATAAGAAAAAGTTGTATGAATCGAAAAAACAAAAGACTAGTCATGTCTAATATGGTGACAGCCGTGAATCATAATTCTAGAAAGCATCCCAATGAGAATATAGAGACTAGAGAGGGGGGAATAAATACTCTTCAGAAACTTTGAAAAACATATGATTCATTTATTAGAGTAACAGAATTCAATTTTGAAATGATTAAAGAAAACAATGATGTTGACTAAAATTTAGAAACTGTATTATTTCAAACAAAGGTGTCCTTTGACTGTCGGTATGAGATTAATTAAATTGAGAAATAAGTAGGCAATCAAATTTAGCATAAAGAAAAAGAAGTAGGGAACTGCATTGTCACCGTGCTACAATCCTGATTCAACCTAGATGAAGCAGGAATAACAGTTGGTTAAGCAATTACCGCGTCAGGCCAGCATATAGTAAAATACCTAAGCGTAAATGGCATGGAAGAAGGCTTATTACATTAATATAGTGTTAGTGAAAATTGAAGAAGATAATAATATATTTTATTGATTACAAAAGAACAAAACAGGAAATCAAGAATTGCAAGAATATATTAATCGCTAAAGAGAGAACATATTTGCAAATCGAGGCATGTGTATCAGACGGTGTCCTCAAATAGATTCGCCCTCTCACCATAAGTGCTCGAGATTTCGTTTGAGCTTCTATTTCCCAGGATAAAACGGAATGATCAGCAAAAACTGAACACTTAAGTTTCAATTTCAACAAATTGAATTTGATTAGAAATATTATCAAGACTTTTGACACAAAGTGGAAATATTTCGGGCAAATAGGAACTGAAAATTATATGCAGGCAGAGAAGAATGGAATTTGTGTGTGTGGAACTAAGGGAGAACTCCAAGCTCTATTATAAGCTCCAAGAATGAGTGATTAATGGCTCAATGAATGAGTGACTTGAAAGGCCAGCTATTGCAGGTATTACTGCTATTAACACTATCATTAATCCGGCTATATAACTTCACCATTAACATAGACCATTAAACAAAAAAGTTTCAGGAGTTGAGAAGTTGGAAAGTCAGTTGGAGAAAAAAAATAAAAAACATATAGAAAATAAAGGCAAAATGTGGAACCTTCCAAGGGGTCATTCCGATTCGATTTTCATGTACGTGGATCGCGCTCGCACACAAGTTCAACAGCCCGAGGTACTAATTCAATCCGAATTAGCACCCCGTGCGAGCGCACGTGGAGGGATCTCTATGCTACACACTAATCACACCTTTTGTGACCATATATAAACATCTTTCAAAAAGAAGAAACTGCCTCACTCAGAACTAGGCCAAAATTGATGTAGAACATATTGTAGATGAATTTGATCAAAATGGGAAAAAATAATAATACAAAGAGATAACATTCTAACTTCGAATTGGGCTCATAATAACATTCCGGAAAGAGGATAATACTCATCGCTAAACCATGAAGTACAATGGATTTCAACCATCCGATTTCGTTTAGGACTCGAAAACTAATTTTTAAAGTTTTAGCTCTATTGTTGTCATTTAATTTATTTCAAATTCTTTTTTAATTTTAGTTTGTTTAAGTCGGGTTTTCATTAATATTAATGATATTAAATTAGGTTTTCAAGTAAATCCTTATAAATAGAGGATATCTCATTGTTTTTTATTAACTTTCATTAATAAAAATTCGTAAGTTAAATCTTTCATAATTTGATGGATTCCAAAATTTTTGTTCCCAAGGCTTTCGCTTTAATTTCTTGTTTCCCGCTGCACGTCAAAAATAGTCCCATATATAAACCATTTTCCAACATCTAGAACAATTGATCGAACACAGATTCTCCAGACTAATAAATAGCATCAAAACTGAAGAAAATTTTAAAACCCCAAAAAGAAAGAGCAGGGTGCTTGATCTAAAAGAATAAAAGATTAAGTTATTAGAGGGAAGAGATCACAACCCTGAATTCGTTTCTTCAACAAAGGCTTATGCAATTTTGAATTTTCATGAATAGTTTGCGAGAGACTTGAATTCAACACAAATATTCAAATTCAACAGCTATACTGAACTACCTCACGTCATCTAAAATCTCAACCAGTTAAATCAGAGGGGTGCATACCTCAAGATCCCTTTTGAGAAAATGGAAAGTAACAGCAAATTGGACCATCATAAACCTAGTTCCACCATCTGGGAAAATCCAAAACGAAGCAAGACCAGCAAGAAATGCCGGGGTGTAGAGTAACAGCATCCCAGTTTTACTAGAAAGCAAGATCTGGTGGGATTTCTTGGAACCGACGTTCCAAAATTTGGAGTACTGAAGGTGTTTGCCTATGAATTCCAACAGAGCCAAACATGCTGTTGTTAAAAGGATCATCACAGACATTGCCGTGATGTACATAGAGGAGGGTTCTTGGTAAACGCAAGCTTGGAACATTTTTGCAATAATCTCTCTTTCTGATCAATGTTTATTTTTATCCGCCCAACAACTAACTATATTATTAAAATAGTGAAGAATGCTGCCGATTTGTGGGCTTGGAAATCAATGAATACTGCCGATTTGTCGGCTAGGAAATCAATGGGATGTGATTCTTTGTTTTATCTTACAAGTTAGAGCAAGATTTAGCGGAGCAGCCGGTAGCTGTAGAAAGGTCAACCCTATGCTGGACACGGCAGGGCTGGAAATTAGACAACACAAGCTTCAAATCAATGGCGGTGAATTCACATTATTATTATCTGGCGTAGATTTTAATTGTCCTCAAAATTAACTATTGTTCTTCAAGAGTAACACTAATCAGAATTATGCTAAGTGTACATTTTTGTGGACATTGTGTGAAAATTTTAAAAATGTTGGACGGAAAAGTTTTTTTTTTTTTTAAACTATCCAATTATATAATGACACGTGATACAATGTCAAACAAAATATACCCGTAACATGATTGTACTATGAAAAGCAAAACAGACTAAGACCCTGTTTGGGAGGGATTCTCAAAATTCTACAGTAAATCAATTTTCATTTTCAACCACACATTTTTCAATAAAATAATATTTTTCACCACATCAATAATTTTTTCTTCTTTTTCAACCACACATTTCCCATCATATCACTATTCAAAATCAATTATTCCCCTAAAAATCCTTTCCAAACAAACTCTTAGTCTCTGTTTATCTACCATTATTCCTAAGCTATTTTCACAAAGATTTAGGGCATATTTGTTTTTTATTCTCAAATTCTACAGTAAATCAATTCTCATTTTCAACCACACATTTTTCAATAAAATAATATTTTTCACCACATCAATAATTTTTTCTTCTTTTTCAACTACACATTTCCCATCATATCACTATTCAAAATCAATTCTTCCCCCAAAAATCATTCCCAAACAAGCACTAAGTAATCTTTTTGACCTTTAAAAAGTAGAACCATGCCAGATGGTCAAGGTCATCGGGGGACATCTCGTTTTTTTTTCCTAAAAAGTAAGAACAAAGTTTTCCATACATATAAATTGTACGGATAGTTTTACGAGTGCCTCTGTCAAACTACTTGTACAAATAAACTTCGAGTTTTGGTTCATGTTGGCTTGGCCCCCACGAGGTGGAAATACTTATATCCATTCTCACAAATTGAGAGAAAGGAAATGGTTCTTAAAGGCTTTCGAGTCATTATCTTTCTCTAACAGGAAAGCAGAAAACAATTTCACAAATGAAATTTGTCTTCTATAATAATATTTTTTTTTAACTAAATAAAGTCATTCAGTTGTGCAAAATAACGGCATTGCCATATTAGTATAATGATGTTAAAATCCTTCCCAAACAAGCACTAAGTAATCTTTTTGACCTTTAAAAAGTAGAACCATGCCAGATGGTCAGGGTCATCGGGGGACATCTCGTTTTTTTCCTAAAAAGTAAGAACAAAGTTATCCATACATATAAATTGTATGGATAGTTTTACGGGTGCCTCTGTCAAACTACTTGTACAAATAAACTTCGAGTTTTGGTTCATGTTGGCTTGGCCCCCACGAGGTGGAAATACTTTATCCATTCTCACAAATTGAGAGAAAGGAAATGGTTCTTAAAGGCTTTCGAGTCATTATCTTTCTCTAACAGGAAAGCAGAAAACAATTTCACTAATGAAATTTGTCTTCTATAATTTTATTTTTTTTTTACTAAATATAGTCATTCAGTTGTGCAAAATAACGGCATTGCCATTTTAGTAAAATGTTGTCTAGGAATAGTTGACAAGGAAGATTAAAGTGTTTTGAATGTCTAAATGGTTCCAAATCCAAACAAAATGGGAGAGAGTCAGAATATAAATTGATAAGAAATTCTAGTCAACTAATTTGATAAGAATGCCTACAAATTCTTGCAGAAAGGCAGCGAGAGCATCTAGACTTGAAACTCTGGTCAGTTTTTCTTAATGGATGTCTAAATGATCAGAAGTTCTTGGAAAAACGAAGCAAGAGAATGTCGACACGAACCAGCAATTCTCAACAATTTCCCTTAATTTGACGAAAATGTCTAAATTGTTTCAAATTCGAGCAAATAGGAAAATGGAGAATTTGATAACATTTCTGAAGAGACAAGTGAAAAATCTATTTGTCTAAAAAACTATTCTTCTTGGCCAGGCCCCTGGACATCATTTACCGGCATCAAAGTAGTTGACAAAATTCATTTTCTTACAAAAACTGGTTTTTGACTAATTTCCTCAATAAATTGTTAGGTTTAAAATTCGTAAATTCATAAATTGTATCAGGGGCCTTTCCAACTATTTTATATTAGTGGCCCAAGTACAAATACATAGTCATATTTGAAAAATTTTCCTATATACTTATTCTCCAGTAAGTAACATAAAATATCCAACACAAAATCCTTGTAGGCTTTGTCATCATGTTCATTATTCACCCAAGAACTTGGCGAGTTTAGGCCTAAGAAATTATGCCTTCACCTTTATTGATAGACATGAGAATCGTCCAAAATATCAACCATAAATTTCTACAAAATGTTAGTTTGAGCAAGTTTTTCTTCTCTGTGCTTTTTCAATGCTGGGAAAGCCTCTCACTGTTCTATATTATTATGGGAAAAAAAAAGAACATATATAAATATTTTAGCAAATGGTAAGGAAGTCACACAACATACATTTCTCCTCTCTCTCTCTTCACCTAACATTGACCAAATTGGGAGAGCAAAAAAAAAAAATGAACAGCAGAAGTAACTAAGTTAAAAAATGTGACTATACCCCTCTATACATCCCATCCAAAATTTTTACAAGGGAACCAAGTGGAAATTTCACCTGAATACCCTCAAAACAGTTGTGGGGTGCTCGAGAAAGCGGCCAGGTACGGAATATTGACAGGCTGTAAGTGCTACACCACCTTTGTAGGAAAGAATTGCAAATCAACTGAAACTCCAGCCGCATATATATTGCCTTGCCTCTGTTTGATTTCTGCTAATTTACTCCCCGGTGTTCAAAACCTCAACGGCTGACAGAGCTTCGCAGTGCAGGCGTGCTTTGATTACATGAATATATACTAATTGTAGATTCTAACAGGTTTCTCATATGTATGCCGGTTCTGCAACATCAAGGTCAAGTTCAAGTTCAAGTTCAAGACTAACATTTCAGTAATGTAAAGCTTTGGAGACCATTAGTATATCAGCTCAGTATTACAAACCTTAATCTTTGTAACTCGTGCTTATTTACAACATGCATGTTATTAAACACTCAATTAATCCAATTGGCGCACTGAAGAAAGTTGACAATCCCTTCCACAGTCCTCTTATCTAAAGAGTTCAGAAGGAATTCAAAATGACAATTACTAGCATAATCACCAACCAAATGGTGATAACCCACTTCAGTCTATGAGCTTGTGCCAGAGATTTCATCGAATTGATTTTCATTTATTGAAATAGAATACATAGAGGACAAGTTTGGTATACAATATTAAATGGGATTAGACAGCAATGGACAAGATTTCAACTTATTTTCTAGGGAGGCAAGAAAGTGAATCAAGTTTCCAATTAAATACCTTGTTGACTTTAGCATAAGTTTCATGCAAATGCATACCTGACTAGCTGCATAAGACCGTTTTGGAACATTATCAGGATGCTCTAATCCAAGGTATTGTTCCCAAGCACCGTAAACACCTCTTCTCTGGGATGCAAAATTAATATTAAAATGAAGAAAACATACGTAACATGTACGCATGTGTTTGTTTGTGAGAGAGAGAGAGAGACCCCATGTGATTGGGTTGGGGTGTTTTGATTTCTAAGTACCTGAAAACGACTTGATACACTGTCAGTGTCTTGAAGATACTCTGGACGACCTAAATTCAAAAATGCCAACTTCCACTGGAAAAGAAAGATAAACTCCAAAGTTGGAATCAAAAGAAAGTTGTGTTCGAGAAAGCAAAAGCCACCCATTACAGAGGTGAT